GGCTAGCCCCCTTTTATGCTTGAGCTGGTGTCACATGGTATGGAATAGCCCCTTTGGCTAGTTTGGGTCACCTGTCCTGTCTGTGTCCCCTCCCAACCCCTTGTGCACCCCCAGCTGTCCCACTGGCAAGGCAGTGCGAGAAGCAGAAAAGGCCTTGGCTCTGTGTAAGCGCTGCTCAACAACAACAGGTCCACATAACAAAAACATCTCTATGTTATCAACGCTGTTTCCAGCACAAATCCAAAACATAGCCCCATACTAGCTACTGTGAAGAAAATGAACCCTCTCAGCTGAAGCAGGACACTGACCACTGTCTGTTTTGCAGCGATGGAGAGGTGCCCGGGGGGAACCCCATGGTGGCAGGTTTCCAAGATGACCTGGATCTGGATGACAAAATCCCCAGCAGACCCATGCTGGGAGCAGAACGGGTGCCCAGCAAGAACGTTACCCTCTCCAGTGAGGAGGAGGAAGAGGTGAAGGACTCCAAGGTCATACTCATACCTGATGAAGGCATCGACACAGAGCAGGGAAAAAAAAGGTACAAAACACAGCCTGAAGTACGGGGTTGTGCACAAACGTGGGCCTCTTCTTGGTCCTGCCGCTGACTTCTGTGCAGCCTCTGAGAAGTCCTGGTGTCTCTGTCAGCCTGTTCCTCCAGCTGTCAGCTGGGCTGTGCGTGCTGTAGGTGTGACGACTGCTTTATGCTGGGTTTTCGGCACCGGACCTGGCAGCGTGCCTTTGAGCACTGTGCGCCCGTGGTCGCTGGTACGTTTCTGTTTGGGAAAGGCCCAGCCTTTTTCTCAAGTTTGAACAAGAAACTGTAACTGAGTGCTTGAACGTCTGCTCATAGCGATGCAAGGGCAGAGGAGTGGAGTCTTGTGGTGAGGAGAGTGGAAGTCATCATTCGCCACACCTTGTGCTGGAGACCAATGAACGGGACCGTGTTCTCCACATACCACGTCCTGTGGGTGATACAGTCAGGCATGGCCCGCTGGTGCAGGCACCTGCGCGTCAGCATCCTGAGGGATGAGGGCCATCTTCAGCTTCTGAGCGTTTGAACACGCACACCTAGGATGAGCTACCTCTCCTTGGAGATGCACGTTGCAGCCCTCGAGGCAGGCTCAGCTTTTCATTGGTCTTTGTGCTTTGCTTCACAGAATGGGAGAAGGGACAGGGTCTGACGATTTGTTTCTTTCTTCACAGGTCTTCCAGAAATTCTCTGAAACCACAGAGTGAAGCAATTTTGACCAAAGCAACTGACCCGAAGCCTCCTGACAGTTTACCTCCACGTTCTGGGTCCGAAAGAAACAGCAGCAGCAAGCTCAACGCTAGCCTGCCAGCTGCTGCTCCTGCTGCTGCTGCTGCCACCCCAGCAGCAGTCCAGGCCCCAAAGACCACTTCCCAAAGCAAAGGACATGCTCTGAAGCAGAAAGTGGTCAAAGAGGAAAAGCCTGAGGACTCTGACAGTGATCAAGAGGGACCAATAGCTACTCAGATGCTCTCATTTGTTATGGATGACCCAGACTTCGAAAGCGAGGATTCTGACAGCCAGAAGAGGAAAATGGTAAATAACGTGTGTGAATCGCTGTGCGGTGCTGCAAAGCTGAGCTGGAAGTGTTGGGGCATCTCACTGGGCAGAGCTTTCATCTGCTCTCCCATCTCTCAGTGGCAGTCGCAGCAAGTCAGGTGCTAAGCAACCTGAAGAGATTGATATACTCACAAACCCACTAATGCTCTGATTGTTGAAGCTACACGGCAATGAGGTTTGTGCTTACGGGTTTTAAAGTGCTGTTTATTCTCAGTAAGTCCAGAGCACGGTCAGTCCAGTGGTGTGGAAGGTATGAAATACAAATCTAATGGTCTTCCACCCAAAGTTTAATATGTAGAAGTGTGTGCGTGCCAGAGAGAGAGAACAAGTCAATCCTACAGTCAATCCAGCAATCAAAAAGCCATAACAAAATTTGCTGGGCAAAGTTCCTTACTGGAGTAGGAGAATCTGCCTGAGAAGGACTCTCCAGCATAGCCAGGTTAGCTGCAAAGGCTCTGTGACACTGAACACATGGGCAGCTGCTCAGTGCTGCCTGCAGGTGTCTGCTCAAATAGAGCAGACAGGGGAGCCCCCTCTGCACCCCTCGTCTGTTAAAGATGGAGAAAACACAAGCATCTTCTAGGAACTTGCTGCTGTGGCTCTGGGTATCCCTCATTCCAGTGATCTGCACTCGCAGCCAGCAGAGCAATCTCTAGAAACTGCTAACCGTGATTTGGGACAGGCGATTGCTGTTCAGGGTACTCCCGGTGTCTGGGTTAGCTGGTGTTCAGGAGTGGTTTATGTGTTCGCATCATTCCAGAATCCTGCAGAAAGGACAGTTGTCCCAGTTTCTTTGACCTTGCCTGTGTGTCATGGTGTTTATTAAGGAATTTTCCATTCGTTTAGCAGTTTCAGTGTCTGCTTTTCCTGGCACTTTAATACGAAAGCAAAAGTATTTGCAGCAAGTTTACTTCTCTTAGCATGTGATGATGAGAAATGGGATTTGTGAGGGAGCTTGCCTCACATCATTGTCACGGAGACGCCCCACGACTTGTGAATGCTTTTCAAGATCCAGGTTTACCAGTCAGGCAAAGCAGTAAAACCACTACCGTTAGTGAGGAGGGAGGCATTGCCTAGGTCAGCAGTAGAGCGAGGCCATGTTTGGTCAGTATGGAGGATATATAGAAAGGATGGATAACAAATCCTGAAGAGGATCAGTTGGCAGATATCAGATGGTCGTTAAAGTTCATTTCCATTCCCATTGTGCAGAGACAGAGGATTTTTTGGGTGATATCCAGTCTCCGCAGCATCCTGGGATTTAGCCCACGTTGAAGGGGCAAATTTGGCCTGGGAACACATTCCCTTTTGACTTGATGAAGGGAGTTACTCTGCAGACATAGGCCACTTCCTTGGTCCTGCTGCTCATTGCCTCTCATATGCGAGACCCCACAGAGCTACACAGCAAAAAGGTTTTGTCTGTCAGGTCTGGAAGTGAGTTTTCAGCCTATTAAATTTGATTTTCCCCAAAACAGAGGTGCCTCTCCAGGGCAGTTAGAGGCTGATGCTGCTGAGCTAACACAGTTAAAGGTCTCATTTAATCCCTTTACATCAGGAATTTGATTTTGGTAGCGTGAATGGGAAGTTATCAGAGCACACTTTCCAGTGCCAGTGCTACCAATGCATTTTACCGAAGCAAGAAATAGATCGAGCTTATAAGATCAAGGGCATTGATTTCCAGGCAATAACAGCTCAGTTCAGCTACCATTTCCTTCCCTCCTCCCCACCTGCGAACCGCTGACGTCTTTGTACACAAAATGCTCAGAGGTTTTGGTTGAAAGATTTGTGTGTGTTGTCTGCCTTTTCTTGTCTCTAGGATGAATTCCCGGTCCGGGAAGATCTCTCTGAAATATCGGATGATGATACCTCGTTGGCAAAGCCACCCCAGCCTGTGAAATCAACAGTCCACTCCTTTAAACTGAAAAATGACTCAGATCTCTTTGGCTTGGGTTTGGAAGAAACCGGTCCCAAGGAGAGCAGTGAGGAAGATAAAGGTCGCACCTTATTTCCACTTGTGCTGATTTTGTTTGTCAGGCATCTGTTTTTTTCCAAAATGGTTCCAGGGTGTAAGCAAACCAATTTGCACTAAATAAAATACCCTGTAACTTCATGCAGTGCCCTGTGTGAGTCTTCAATGTGATTTAACACAGCACAAAGAACTTTCTTTACGTTTTTCCCCATGGGGAGGGGGGAACTTGGCTCGTCTGTGGCACCAGCCATGTATTATTTTTGTCCCAGCTGGAAGCAGAAGCGCATCCTTCACAAGCTGCTTCCGTGTAAGGCTTCCCGCTTAGCCTTGCGTGCCTGGGAAGAGGTGCTCAGCATTGCAGTGTCCACCCCCTCAAGAATTTGGATCAATTTGAGCAAAATACTCTGATACACCCTGCCAATTTGCTCTTCTATTTTTGGGAAAGATGGGATGCGGTTCCGATCATAACCTAAGCATTCAGGCTTTTTTTTTTTTTTTTTTTTACCCCCCATCCCCTGAGGGAACAAATCTTACTTGCACAAATTATTTCTGCTGTCTTGGCATTACTGCAAAGCAACTTCCTATAGATCTGCCCCTGATGTCACCACGAAAGATGAGAAATTAAAGACTTAAGGGGAGAAAAAGCTGTAAGCAGCACCAGAGAGAGATCTCTTTGAATAGCTGTTCCAAAAGTGTAAGCAAGGTGTCACAGGCTGCGATGGTTTCATCAGCTTGTCGCTTTGAGTTGCTGAACAGCACAACTTGAAATAGCTAGAAGTGCATTTGCAGAGGCCCAGGTCAATAATTTAACTTGTTTAGCATCTTTAATAATTCAACAAGGGTTCGTCTTATCTCCTCTCATCTTTCTGGAATGAATATAAAAATATGTCTTAGTAGTCAGTCAGTTGGAGCTTGACCAGAAATTAGACTTCTCCATGGTTGACTTGTATTTACAGATCAACCAAGGAAAATAATGTGTAGGTAAGGTTGGCAGTTGGATACTGCACATGAAACGTTGTGCAGTTATAAATCCTCGTGTGAAACAGCCGAGTAGATACTCTCCTGTTCAAGGAGATTCTCTGCAAAGGCAGTGGATGTTCAGCAGTCTAATTAGCAGCCAAGTCATCAACCATAATAACATGGGACACACGATTTGACAGTGATAGACTCAGGGACTCATTTGATATCCTTACAGAGCCGGGCTGCAGCACTGACGCTTTGGCCTCGCGGTGATGTAATTTCCATACACCGTTTGACGAACAGTGAGTGCTAACCTGCTGGGGTGCTCCCATCTGCTGGTGCTCTGTCCTGAATGGTCCTTCCAGTCCTGGCTCCGCTCACAGAAGCACAAACCGTGCCTGGCGGGATTTCTGTCTTCCGTTGAATATTTAGTGGTCAGAGGGAAATTGTTCCCAGGAGCTCTTCTTTAGTTCTGGGAACAATAATCTGGTCCCAGTTTGGCCTTTGGCCTCTGTATTTGTTTCTTAGTAGCTGTGATACAGTGAACATCCAGGTCAGCGTTGGTAACACAGAATAACATAGATAATATCATGCTTATAATGAAACTAGATGCATCTGGTTAAATTAGGGTGTGACTGCTGGAGCCTGGGTTGGTTTGTAATGGAGCACCGTTTGTCCTGAGGACTCGGGATTGCCTTTGCACATGGCTCCAGGATGGAGCATTTTGTTCTCAGAAACTGGGGCAGAATTGCATCGCTGACAGTCTAAATTAATTAAAAAGAATGTTGTTTTTTTTTGTTTGAACAGATAAACAACCTTCCAAGGAGAAAAAGAAGAAGAAAAAGAAAAGCAAAGAGGTACTATTTAATTCCTCAGAGCTGACCTGCCATATTATCGACCAGCCAAGGAGAGGGGTGGCCTTCTACAGCATGCTCTGTGTTCCGGGTGGACTTCCTTCCATCCTCCCATCCTACAGCCAGATCTGTGCCTCCCAGGCTCTGCAGACCATTGATCAATTTGCAGCTTAGAACCAAGCTTTTAGAACAGTTGAATTTTGAAGAGGAAGTGTGTGAATTTGTAAAATCTGGGATTAAATAGAGCAGTGCATCTCTGCTGGGCTGAGTCTGTTGATAGCACTGTGACTTTTTCCAAGCTATCAGGAAAAAGGGGTGTCCCCGACAGACCTAATCTCAGAAGCAGCGAGGGAAGTCTGCAGGAGGCTTTGTCTTTGACATTTCTGCCTGTCCAATACTGTGGTATTGTCAGGCACAAACTGCCTGACAGACCAGTGCTACATATAAACCAGATGGTCTTTCTTCTCTTCTGTCCAATGTCACAGAAGGGTCTTCTGGAATTAACTCCAAGCCAGCCTAGGTAGTAGATGCTTCACCCTAAGGAAGGTTCCCGTCAGAGCCAAGTTTCAGGGCAGTATATGCTGGTTTACTGGCATGCTCGGAGGATTTACTAATAAAAATGTTCTCATTTTGCAGGAAGAGGAGAAGTCTGTGAAAAAGAAGAGCAAACACAAGAAGAGCAAAGAGAAGGAAGAGAGCAAAGAGGAGAAGAAGAAAAAGAAAAAGAAGAGCAAGGAGAAAAACAATGAGATAGATGAACTTGAGGCTTTTCTTGGAGGAGGAGGAGCCAGCATGAGCAAGCCGCGAGGAGGTGGGGACTATGAGGAGCTGTAGGCTGGCCGCATGTACATGCAGCGGACTCTTCTGTCATGGCTGTCTCCATCTTTTCTTACGAGTCACACCAGGACAGGTGCAGATGTGTAAAGCTTTGGCCGTTTGCCATATATTCTCTCAAAACAGAGCTGGCAAAACACAAGCTTTACATCTGTGTGTGCTATTCTGGTGCATTTGTTACACACACAAAATCCAGCTGAGATGTACTTGAGTAAGGGGAAGGTTCAGGGCACGGTTCCCAGGCCCGCTTCCAGGCTGTTGTATTTTCTCCTTCCAGACATGCCCCGTCGGGTAGCTGGCAGGGTGTGGGAGGCAAAGGGAACCTGCCTCCTGCTCCCCCCCGCTATATTCCACTCCTGCACACCTGAAACTCCCGTCTTGCTAAAAGGAGTGCAACAAAACATGCCGCATGAACGCATCGTGCTCGCCTGTCTCAAGTCTTTAACTTTTTATCCTTCCTATTTTTTTAATGAGAAAGGTGGTATTGGCCATTGCTCCACCCAGCAGTCGATGAGCTTTAAATTGAGCAGATCATGCTATGGTACAGCTCCCTAAAACAGCAGCCGCAGGGCCAGAGTGAGAGAGGATGTGTGTGATTTTGAAGTCCTTTGAACGGGACCTTTCTGCACAGCAGCTTAATTAGCACTCACTGGTGCTGCTGTTGGAATTCATGAAGCCCCATTCATTTCCGTGGCCCTGGTGTCTCAGACACTACATGTAAGCTGCTATGCAGTTTGGGAAAACAATGCAAAGTGCAAAGCTAACCTGAAAGAGGGAGAGAAAAATCAGTGCTTCTCTGCATTTCCCACCCTTGAATTTGCATATACTAGAATCCCTTCCCTTCGGTACCTCTCAGGGACATGACTCTCATGTGGAAATGAAGATATCCAGAGCTTCAGAACTGTCTATAGGGAAGTGTTAGCATGGCAAGGCATTTGCTTCTCAGGCATTTTACAGTCACGCTGTAAAACACGGGCTGCCTCTCTAACGCTGAGAGGGACCACCACTGTAGCGCAGACAGCGTCCTTCCTGGCCCAGCTTCTGTCAATACTGCAGCTGTGTTTACAGGGCTTTTTTTTTTCCCTACCCTATCCCATTCGTGCAGCCTCCTATCCCAGGAGTTTGGGAAACCTTTTAATTTTTGCTTTGAACTTAGACCCGTGGATCAGTGCCTGCTCAGCAGCACCGGTTGCCATTGGATGGGCACTACGAGCCAGCCCTTCGCACTTGCCTGTGTCTCAGTGAGCAGCCCCTGTGTTTGATGGAGCGTGTTAGTTCTCCGTACTCCCTTCTATTTTGGTTCTGGTGTCCCTTTCACAGCTCGGACAGTGAAGCTCCCTCGAGGATCTGTGCATTACATTACCCTGTTGCTTGCAGGTTGATTTGAGGTTTGGTTTTGTTCTCCCTCTCCCCTTTTTGTTGTAAAATGTAAACCATGAAATCCAAAGTGGGGTTTCCTTCTACATCCCTGTAAAACGAGGTGTTTTTTTGATCCGTTATCCACTCCAGAGTTGTGTTGAACAGCAGGCAGTTACCTGCTCCATTTTTCTTTTTCTTTCCCCTAGCCCCCAAAATGCGCTTGTAACTGTTTCCCTATAAAACAAACGGATTTTTTTGCTGCATGAGCAGTATATTGTTCAGCTCTGTTTACCATTAGCGTTTGCCTACTTCTCTGAGCGTTACTA